GAATAAGAAGCTTTTTTTTAATACGAGGAGGCTTTGAATGCATTGGCCGAAGTATGGTATAAATAATACTTTGACTTAGCTAAATTACCGGAAAATTATATTTACATACACAGCATAACTAAATAAATAGAGAAATAAAGAAATTTTTTGCAATTAAGCACACAAAATGCCATGCTGTCTCAATGACAATGGCAATAAAAAATCTGCAAAACATGTTGTACGCCACATCTAGCAATTAGGATTGGGCGATACTTGAAAGCTGAATTAGATAAAATTTTCAGCAGCGCGTGTTACTTTTTGGATAAACTAGTTTTTTTAAGTGCCTAAACTATTAAATAAATTTTTGCTAAAAATATTAATTTAATTGGTTTTTAAACTTGATTTGCAGTTCCTGTTAAACCACAAATATTTTTATAAAATAAACATAAAAATTTATGGTATGAGAGGAAAGTTAGAATTAACAATTGATATAATAAAAACTGGTTAAAGAGCTTGAGCGTTTTCTTTATATTTCTATGTACAAACAAGTTTCAATTAAACAAAAAACTAAAGACTTAAGCAACAAACTCGTATATTTCGTTTCACTTCTACTACCATTAAATACTGTTCAATGCATTTGTATAAAACACCTTTTATGGCATTTCCTTATTAGCCGAATGCAAACAAAGCAAATAATGCCAAACCCGCCCGAACAACCACAGGCGCATACATATTTCTTTTTTAGTTTTTTTTTTTTACAATATGCCGCATTTAAAGCTGCGTGCATGCATAATTGATTGGCAGAGAGTACATACTTAGTACATATAAGACACTCAGCAGTCGGATGACGTGTAGAGTATTTGAATCAACCCACATAACGGCTTTGTCTGCCTACCATGGTTTGAGCTGCTGCTGCTGCTGCTGTACGTTTTGTAATAAGTCATTGTGTGTTAATAAAATTGTTGGTTGCTGAGGCGATTGCGCAGCATTAATGTGATTTGTTGTTGAAATAGCGCAACTGTTAATGGAAATAAAAATAGCGAATGTAGTAGAAAAAGCGCTTAAATGTTAGAACGTCACTGTCAATTAGTAATCTCTGCTAAAGTTGTTTTTTTATTGAATAGGAAATTTTCTGATCTGTGAATGATGATTTGATATCTTTTGATTTGATGTCTAATGCACGTGCGTACATTTTTTGTATGCACATAAATGCATAAACGAGTATATTTTGATTAGTATAAGAATGAGTAGCTTCAAGGACGTCCGAAAGACATAAATAGTAGCGATGCAGCGTATTACCGAAAGCAAAGGATTTGAATAATGATATTGCATAACATTGGCCTTGTTATCGATGACTAAGGCGAAAAAGTTATATCGTTCATCAAAATCGATAAATATATCAATAATTTAATCGATATTGATAGATTCACCGCTTAATAAATCGAAGAATATAACGACAAAAAAAATATCTTTGAGGACGATACATTCAAAAATTTATCGACATATTTATCGAAACATAGAAAGCGTACTAATAAAACTATAAATCGATCAATGTCTTAATAAATATATCGATATCAAAATATATAAATAAGTCATGTATATCGATAAAATTGCTGTTAGTAAACCAGTGGCTATGAGTCCCTATTTATGAGCTTTTCAGTGCTCGATATCGATAAATACATCGATTAGAAAATCGATATTCATAACTAATTCGATTAATGTACGGTTAAAATATCAATAGTAATGACAAATATATAGGTGACGTTGTCGATAGCTGCACTTAAAATTCTTTCGACAAAACTATCGAAATAAACTAATATATATAAAGAAGTAACAATAAATGTTTTAATCGATAAATAAAGATAAACAAGTTATGTACATCAAAAACTGTCGTATTAATAAATTGGCATTCTGGCATCTGCACGTGCTGTAAATATCTATCGATAAGTTTAAAAAAAAATAGATGAATATAATTCGGGGAAAAGTAGCAGCGTTGAGGTTTTTATAAAAAAAAAAAACATATCGATAATAAAATCGATTTGGATAAAGAAACCGATTAATGTACGATTGGGCTATTTAAATCTATAACGATAAATACATCGGTAGCGACTCATTTATCCAAATAAATATACGTATCAAGCTACATTAATTAATATGCAAATCTAAAGATTGCTTAAATATGTCGATAACAATATCGATAAATCTGTTGTACTGATAACTTTTCCGTAACTAAATCATTAGTGATATCAATATTGATAAATCGAAAAAGTCTTGATAAATATCGAAATATATATCGGCAATGAAATCTATATTAATACATACATATACACAAGATTATAACGTTAAATATATCAGAGGCGATATTAGAGCCACAAAAAAATTTGTATGAACACATTTATCGAAATACAATAGACGGTATTATTAAATATTAAAATCGATGCAATTTCTAATAGAGAATCATTAATGATATATATATTGATATATCAAAAAATTACGACTTTTTCTAATGAAAAAATCTTTCTGAGGCAAGAAAATCTAAACATAAAAGATTAAAATAAAATACTCTTCCGCAATGTTGCGTTATTGCTTGATTATCGTATTTATTATATCAATTTGCAATATTAATTTTACGAAGAGTACTTACTGCGCCTTTCTAAACGCGGATATATTTGTTGCAAAAAAAAAATCGCAATGAAATATTCGTATTTTTCATGTCATGATCCAAATCCACTAAAATAAGAAAAAATTCCAGTTTTAATTATTCGCCAATTTCCTCAAATTTAAAAAATTTATGTTAACTAAATTGCGATTTCTCAAACTTCAGATGTCTCTCAATCACCTGATGGTTAACCTTCAGTTCAATCATATGCTGTATTTTTCTTATGATGCACACCAGCGTGAGCATTGCATAACATTGCAAACGAGCAATAAACGCACCTGCCAAAATGCAACCAGTTTTGAGCTAAACAAATTAAAATTGCAAAACCTCTGAACGAAGGTTAATCGGAAATAAATTTCTTGCTTTTTCTGAATAATACCAAAATAGCACGCAAGTGATACTACGAGTAAAATGAAAATGCTTCAGTGCGGAAGTTAATATGAGTAGTAAAAAAAACTTTATTACGCTCTAGAAGCCCATCAAATTTTTTTTTTATTACTCCCCCTTTTTTGTAGCCACCACAGAGCAAAGTGTTTTAGTAACCGGAAGATGCATACATACACGTTAGGGTGCTCATTAAAGATCAAATTAACGATTTTTTTCAGTATCATCCCCTCAATTGATAATACCACGATCACAGATATCACATATATATTTCTGTTCCGATTAGAGACGGTTAAGGCGTGTCGCACAAGGGGCATAGTTCAGATTCCTCTATAGAAACTCAAAAAATTAAAATTATTATTTTTTTTTTTTTTCACCTAATACCCAAAATCGATACTACCATAGTCGAAGATATCACATATTAATTTTGGTCCCGATTGCAGTCGGTTGAGACGTTTTCATAGGGTAATCTGAAGTTTGACCCTGTGCGACACGCCTTAACCGACTCCAATCGGAACCAAAATTTATATGTGATATCTTCGACTATAGTAACATCGAAGTACGGGTTGGGGCTTAGGAAATCTGATGTAAAAATTTGCTTACGACATTTAAGGACCACTAAATATTTTTATTCGAAAAACTTTGTTTCTCTTCAGAAGAAATATCCAATTGTTTACTATACAATTTTTTAATACTAACGATTTTTTATGGGTCCCCCATTGCATTTTTTTAATGTTTTTAGGGCTTCTATGCAAAATATTTAGCAATTGGAAATGGTTAAATAAACAATTGCGTATTTTTACTGGAAGTCTCTTGAGGAGAAACAAAGTTTTCCTATAGAAAAATATTGGTTTTCATGAATTCTATACCATTTCTATGGAAAATTGTTTTTCTCCCAATAAAATACATGGAAAACTTTAATCGCTTTGAAACGGAGCTATAATTTTATTTTATTATTAATATTTTTTTGTTTTTGACCACCCTAATATGCATCCGCCTTACTTCATTTACATACATACATAGGCGGTTGGCTTAGTTAATTTGACTATGTGCGAATAAGTATATTCTGAGACTTGGAACCCCACATTTTCTTCTATTTTAACTGAAATAAATTTACATAAGTACATTAGGGTGGGTCAATTTGTATGGGAGATTTCTTCGACTATGCGCATATAGCACAGAAGGATTCTTCTACGTGTAATTCTGAGCAAATTTTGCGCGGAAAATATGGCTCTAAAATCAATTTGGGGTTTGTCAAATGTCGAAAATAGGTTTCTTATCATTTTGCTGTAGTGTCGTAAAGAAGCGTTAAATTTTGTATAAAAACATGCCATAAGGGTTTTTTTGGTATGAGGAATGCACTTAGTTCTTTCTTAAAACTTTCACCAGATGTTGCAACGCTTTGAATTCTTTAGTTATAATATAATAAAATGAAATCAGAAAAAAGCTAATTTTTATCGAAAAAAATACAAAATAACAATCAAATAATATTGAGGAAACTTAAATGCAATTTTAACGATGAAATTATGATTTTTATTATAAAGATCATAACCGTTACGGTCTCTATAGCTTGATTACTTTGCTCCACTAAATCATTCTTTATGCGGTAGTTAAATAACAATTTAATAGAAAGCAATCGAACGATTTGTCTTCAGAGCAATGTAATTTCTTATAAGTCATAGATAGGTTTGCATGTACATATTTATGTATGTATGAACGTTGCAAGCCTTAGACAAGTTCATTTCAGCAAAGCGCTTAGGTATGTATATACTATATTTCAACCCATATTTATACATGTATGTATGTACGTTTGTTTCTTCGACTTATTTCCGCATTTGATTGCTCAATAATTTCACAGTTGGTAACTTGATTTATGTGAATGTTGTTAATTTCGCGCTCTTTATATCTATTCTGAGGCTGCTGTCGTCGTCACCTGTTTTATTAACCACTACTTTTCCTCTCCATTATTTCTTTACAGAATGGCGAAACAATGAATCGCGGCTGTGATGAACGTTGCACGTGTAATCGTGGCGAATGGATTTGTGTACCACGTTGCATGGGCAACACTTTCAAACTGGTTGGCGGTGCTCCGCATATGGATTTGGATGCGCAAGCGCATTGCCGACAAATGGCCGTCGATGAATGTTGCGCGACTATGGAATGCGGTCTGATGCACACAATTGGCTCCCCGGAAGGTGGTGTGAATGGTGAGTGTGTGGATATGAACAAATTTATTGAAGGGGTAATTGCACGTAGTAACTTTCATTGAAGATTTTTGTTGATAGCGAAAATTGAGCATTTTCGTAAAAGATGAATTAAAATACTCGTATCTGATCGTGAAGAGGATAAAGTCTGGGCGCTGATATTTTTCCTTTCTTGTGGTTTTTGGTATTGGAATGTACAAATTTAACGATGGTGTTTTTATATAACCGTCAGCACTTCGTAGGGTCTACTGGTTAAGTCCACCAACTGAGCTCTACACTTTTATCGCGGATCATGAATTAAAGGGAAATAGCTCAGTATAATTCAGGATAGCAAACTGATATTGCAAACTCAGGTCACAGTTTCCATGCTATAAGACTGAAAAAGAAGCGACGTTCGTACTGCGAACTTTGGATTGGAAATAGGGTGCTCCATTACACACATGCATAAATATGTACATGTAATATAACACTGTTCGAAAGTTACAATATTTTCCTGTTTTTCTTTGACTTCTCTTAGAACAAAAAAATATAAAATTTTAATATGTGAAAAAATCGCTAAAGATAACTCTTTTCTCATTGAAATAACCCTAAATCGGTCGAGAAATATACTAAACTGGAGACACTGTCCAGTTTCGATATTTGATTTGGAGTCTCTAATAAAACTTCTGGAGTTTTGATAGTTTTGAATTTCTTGAAGTTTTCCATTTGAAATAACTTGAGTGGAATTCCAAAATTTTCAAAACTTTCAAAACTTTGTGAATTTGAGAGATTTTAGTAAATCACAATAATTCAAAATAATGATGAATAGTAGATTTCTAGGAATTTTTTATTTTTAAAAATTTTTAGAATTGTAGGAATTCTAACAAATTTTTTCTAAGTAAAAGTGTCGAATATACAAAATTCATCAAACCAAATTAAAAGTTTTCGAATGTTTAAAACATTTTGATATTTCGTCGTTTTTGAAAATTTAAAAATTTTCGTAATTGTTGAAGATTCAAAAAATTTTTGGACGTAGATGTTTTCAACACTTTCAAAAAATTTAAAATTCTCCAACTTTGTTATATCAATACAAAATTTTGGAAAAGTTCAGAAAAGTGGAAAAATTTTGGAATTTTTTCAAAAATGTTAATATACTTTAGAATTCTAAGAATTTTCTATTTTTTATACACAAGTACCATAAACATAAGAATTTTTCCACAATTTGTGATGTTTCACATTTTTACATTTTAGGATGGATTTAAGAATAAATACAACATTTTGGAAAATATAAAAATTTCAAAAATCTCAATATTTTTCAAAATATTCTCATTTTACCAAAATTTCTAGAATCGCCCGGATATCAATAGTATTAAATGTATGTATGACAAAATAAATCTAACACGTCCGTTCTTTGTAATGTGCAAAATCGA